ATATTTAGATTTCGGCATTAAATAACCCATAGAGGTGTTGATATGCCGATAAACAAAATAAACCAACCAACAATATATATTTAAAGTAAAATGACCAACAATACATTTTATCTGTAGTTGAAGGCATACAATTGGGTTCAAAATATATTTAGTTGAATCCATAAAATTGTGCTCATAATATTTAAATTTCGGCATTAAATAACCCACGTAGGTGTTGATTTGCCGCTAAACAAAATCAACCAACCAACATGAAAGAACTCTTTCATGACATTAATCCATATAATATCCTACAATTAATTTTCTTAAAGAAATCAAACTGTATTCCAAAATATAACTTCAACAAAACTACAATATAAAACACACATATCTCCGCCTCTAATAATTATGTCTATACAAACATGTATATGCATAAAAGCTGAGTATCATCTACCATGTATTCAACTGTGAAAGCAGAGTAACCTACATTTTTATTACTTCAAAACTCGCCCCAAAATTTAAACTTCGCCATTAAATCACCCATAAAGGAGTTGATGTGCCGTTAAAGAAAGAAATCAATCAATCCGACATTTTGTAAAATTGCCAACTGCTCTTGAAAATCAATCAGCGATTGAATGTCGTAAGTAATGGCTTGTATATTTCAACGTCTCCCAAACAAACCTACTTTCATTTAATCATCATAGAACAACTTTTCTGTCTGCAATTTGCATGTCGGATGCTAACCTCCAGAAGAGACGACCAAATCACGTTGAATCACTGGTTCTTGTATGATCAGCGAAGTTAAGCAACGCCGAACCTAGCTAGTACCCAGGTGACCGCTTGGAAATACCAGTTGCTGTAAGCTTGAAAGTGCGGATAGTCTATTGGATTCCAGACGGGTTCGTTATATTCTCTCACGCACAAATACCGTTCGGAAAGGAGTGAATCCACCTCATCTCCCACAAGCTATGGGTTAATTAGTATGATTTTTTTTATCCGTAAATCATTATCATCTTCGAAAAATTAAAAAAATTAAAAAAACATTTTCTGGCTTTAAATAACGTCCACAAGGTTGATAAGTCGTAAAAAACGAATCAAATTTTGTGTCTCATGTTTTCCCAGTGGAAGTTAATGAACGGCCATATTGAATCAACCACTAAGTCTTTATGCAGAACGTTTGCTTCGCTATGTCATGCTAGACAATTCTTTTCAATAGAACCCATCTTTCAAATTTATAAGTCTAAGGTTCTCCCGTTTACCAAATATTTGGTGCGTCTGTTATATATCCAGAGATTGAATATTGCTGCCACATCTGGTCAGGTGCTTTTGCTATGTATTTAAAATCTCTTGAGAAAATTCAAACAAGAATCTGCAATGTCATTGGTCCTGACCAGGCATCTCAGCTTCAGTCCCCTTCCCACTGCCATAACGTAGCTTCTCTGTATTCATTTTTAATGCCTGTTAAAACAAATTTAATAATAGGAACACCCAAAGCCTACCAAAATAAACAGAATTCTCAGGATTCCAAATCTAGTCTTTAACATTAAATCCTTTCTTTGTAATCCTGAAAGTCTATCTTTGAATGAGGGCTTGTATACCTGTCTTGTAAAAGGTTTAATGGCGACTTTGTCTGCCATATGCGTGTTGTTGCTTTCGCTTCATCATTGGAAAACCGCTTCACTTGCCAAAACATAACAAAATGAACACAACACTCTCAGGATTCCAAATCTAATCCTCAACAAAGGCATCTTTCTTTGCAATCGTATTGTGAGGGTCGATCAAAAGTTAATGTTTGTTCTTCTTACAAACAATTCCAACAGATTTAATAATAGGAACACCCAAAGCCTACCAAAATAAAAACAGTATTCCCTGAATTCCAAATCTAGTCCTCAACATTAAATACATTTTTTTTGTAATCCTGTACGTTTGTACAAAGACTTATATATAAATATTTGTAGATTTATAAATTTTTATACTTGAAAAATTCTTTTACATACTTGAAGAAAACAGACATATTGTCGAAATATTGTTGAACACTGCCAAACACTGTGTCTATTCGTTTTCTTTTCTTAAGTCACGTTCTTCTATAAGTGTTGAAAAATACTGGAAGAGTTATGTCAGCCATTTTGTTTATTATTATTATTATTATTATTATTATTATTATTATTATTATTTTTATTTTCTTTGATTTCTGAAGTGTACACATTTCTTTCCGGGTCCCGCCCAGAGACCTAAGGTTAGAAATGGCATCATGACACTTTTCACTGACCAAAAAAAAAAAAAAATATTTTACATAGATAAAGCGCTTCGTAAAGTGCGGGCTCACCTGTGTGAACAACTCCCTGCACCTCCCCGAGGCACAGGCCTCCAGGAATACCTTCAACTAGTCTACTGGGATCTTTTCCAACCAGTCCTAGGGCTCCAGCTACAACAGGGTTTGTTGATGTTCCCATGATCCACATTCCCGAGACCTCGATCCCAAGGTCCCTGCATTTCGACAGCTTTTTGAATATCATCAAAGACACACCGCAGTCCGCAGGGACAGCCATATCAACAAGAAGGCACTTTTTTTGTTTGTGGACTTTAATATCAATGTCTGGGCGGTTGGCCTTGATTGATCTGTCAGTGTGTATTGTGTAGTCCTATAGAATTGTAACAGGTCCCATCTCCGCAACCGGGTCTGGGTGGTGTTCATACCAGCCCACCTTAGCTTCCTTCCCGCAGAAGCCGCAAATTTTCCAGTGCAGACACTGGCCCACTCCGTCATGCTGGGTTTTACACCCAGTGGGTGCCAATATCGTGCAACCCGATATAATATTATTATTATTATTATTATTATTATTATTATTATTATTATTTTCTTTTTATTCTGGCGTTTACACATTTCTTTCCGGGTCCCGCCTTGGGACCTAAGGTTAAAATGGCGTCATGACACTTTCCACTGACAAAAAAAAAAATTTGAATTACATTGATAAAGCCCTTCGTAAGGTGTGGGCTGTACTTGTCAGAACAATTTTTTTGTATCTCCTTGAGGCATGGACTTCCTGAATCCTTCAATTAGTCTACTGCAATCTTTTCCAACCAGTCCTAGGACTCCAACTACAACAGGTATTGTTGATGTTCCCATGTGCCACATTTTCGAGATTTCTATTATTATTATTATTATTATTATTATTATTATTATTATTATTATTATCAGTAGTAGTAGTTTTAAACGGTGGAAATGTCACGGTTTTCCTATTTGAATTTTCTCATCAATCATAATTCTTCAGTTAATGATTGATGGCGAGCAAGTTCTATGACGGGAAAATATCCGTAAACATTAGCCTATCGCATCGTTAAATATTTGATCTTAACAACTTTAACAAAATATTGCAATAACAATCATAAATATGAATGCTGGTCGTTATTGTAAGAAGCAAGGGGTTACAATTGAACAGATTTGAAATTGACAACTTTTTCTATCTCACTGAAACAGACGTTTCCTGCTTTGTATCCTGTAGATCAGGGTCAAAACTATAGTCCTTAAGCCCTATATGAGAATTGTCGTTTAATTGATAGCAGCTTTCTTAGAATATGTGATGTTCCTAGTAGGCCGATCTTCTGGACAACTTGTATGTTGATGTTACCTGGGACACTGTTAGTAAAATTGTCCATTCCTTTTCTCACGAGGCCCAGAGCTCCGATTGCTATTGGTATAGTCTCAGTCTTCATTCCTCACATCCTGTTAATCTCGATCTCCCGGTCCTTATATTTGGACAATTTCTCGATAATTTTTTATGGAGGTGTTTCTCTCAGATGGTACTGCTATGTCAATAAGCGTACAAATCCTGAATTTCTTGTCTTTTATGATAATATCAGGCTTTCATTTCTTTAGTGACGTACGGTGGCCGTTTATGATTAAGTATAACTCAAGACGTCAATGTTTAATAAAACAGTATTTAATTAGAACCACAAATAAATACTTAAAAACAAAGAAGTAAAAGTCAATCAAAGATAATTAACCATTTCATTGAAGACCTTGTTAGTAGCGCTGCTCGGTTTAAAGTCCGGAAAATCCTAAATCAAAACTCAAAACATCGACGCACAATAATTCACACTAATTCGACTGGATAGTTCCACTCAATAGTTACTCAATAATCACTGCAGTCAGTAGCCTGACACCGCTATTTATTCATACACCTGGTGGAAAACATATTGCTAAGCCCAGAGTGTCACGTTCGAACCTCGGTGTCGGTAGTTACTCGTTTTTTTCCTATATGACAATTTCCCTGTTTGAATTGGCCTGTCCCAGAGGATAGTTACATCGCTATTGGTATGTCCATGGGTATATTCATTTATTACTATTATTATTATTAATGCTAAAAGCAAATAGATGAAAGCTGGAGCCAGAAGCCTCTATATAGACAGTTCCTTCAGCGATGCAAAACTGCTGTTGTGGTTCAAGGGTTTACTCATGCTGCACAACAGTCAGCTTATAGGCAACTACCAAGCTAATATCTTACTATTACCTTTTATTAATTATTCACAGCATATGATGTCGCTTGCTGGTTACATGTTTGGTTTCAGGTCACCAGTCGTGGCTTGATAAAAATAAACTAGTGCTCTGATGATCAATGGTACTTTCATTGCTTCCCAAATTTTTAGAATTTGAAACTTTAAATCAGTCTAGTCTTCCTTTCTTTGTTTCGATTCTCATATTAGAGAGACTTTTTTTAGGTAGCATTTTTTTCATTATTTTTTTTTTCAGCAGGAATAAATCTAAAATTGCTTCATTTATTCATATATTGGTTGCCAACCACAGTTAGTGAGATCAGCCTCCTCTTCGTTATTGAACCCATAGACGGGGGGGTAGAAGAGATGGATCCATACATTTCCAAAATTAATCTGAGCTCTCTAGACCGTAATATGAACACTGCCCGCCCATTCTATGCCTCTATTCCCCAGGATTCATTCATTTGAACTCAGCTCTACAATTAACAATTCTGAGTCATTATCCATTACACCACCTGCACATCCAACTTTACAGCATCTGATATACCCAAACGGTCACCCATCTAGGTACTGACCAGGCTCGACGTTGCTTAACTTCTCTGATCGTACTGGAACCGGGTTTTCTGCGTGATGTTTGGTCTTAAGCCATATTACCTGTACATCCAAGCTCACAGCCCCTGGTATTCGTAAGCGGTTACTCATCTAGGTAGTGACCAGGAACGACGTTGCTTAACTTCGGTGATCCAGATAATGGCCGTAAGCCATTTCAAATGACTGTTTGCTTGAAACATTAATAATCGGTACCATTATCGATTCCTGATTTTTATGATGGCTTCTTGATGGAGGAAAAACACAGTCGTGGGAATTTTGCCGATTCTGTAGAATAGGAGAAGATCTGTAATAATGTCAATATTTTCGTTCTTTCGTTCTTCTTCTTCTTCTTCTTCTTCTTCTTCTTCTTCTTCTTCGACCTCCTCTTCTTTTTCTACTTCCACCTCCCCCTTTTTCATCTGCTTTTTCTTTCACTTCTTTTTTCCTCTTCTTCTTTCTCTTTTCCTCCTCCTCTTCTTTTTCCTCTTCTTCCTTTTTCTTCCGTTTTCTGCTCCATCATCTTCCTCCTCCTCCTCCTCCTCTTCTTCCTTTTCTTCTTCTTCCTTTTCTTTTTCTTCTTTCTTTTCGTCGTCTTCTTCTTCTTCCTCTTTTTCCTCCTCGTCCTTCTCCACCTCATCCTCTTTTTTTTCTACTCCCACCTCCTCCTTTTTCTTTCACTACTTTTTTCCTCTTCTTCCTCTTCTTCTTCTTCTTTCTCTTTTCCTCCTCCTCTTCTTCTTTTTCCTCCTCTTCCTTTTTCTTCTGTTTCCTCTTCATCTTCTGCCTCCTCCTCTTCTTCTTCTTCCACCTCCTCCTTTTCCTTCTGCTTTTTTTCCACTTCTTTTTTCCTCTTCTTCTTCTTCTTCTTCTTCTTCTTCTTCTTCTTCTTCTTCTTCTTTCCTCCTCTTATTCTTCTTTTTCCTCCTCTTCTTTTTTCTTCCGTTTCTTCTTCATCATCTTCTTCTTCCTCCTCCTCTTCTTCTTCCTCTTCTTTCTTTTCTTCTTTTTCTTTTTCCTCTGGTTCTTGTTCTTCTTCACCTTCCTTCTCTTCCTATTCTTCTTTTTCTTCTTCTTTTTCTTCTTTCTCTTGTTCTTGTTCTTCCACCTCCTCCTCTTCTTCTTCCTCTTATCCCTCCTTTTCTTCTTCTTCCTCTTATCCCTCCTTTTCTTCTTCCTCCTCTTCTTCCTTTTCTTCTTCTTCTTCCTGAAATCAGGATTGACGTTGAAAATTTGTAAACAAAATAGGAGAGAACCTAGACAGAACCAGGACAAATGTTCAACTGACGTCCGCTGACAGACTTTGTAGCCTTACACCCTGCCCCACCCCCCAACGTTCCACCTCCCAAAAAAGGGGGCGGTCATCGAACACCTGTATTTCCTGTTACAGTACAGTCTCCTATAACCCTTCTTTTTATCCTCACCCGCGCTTCTCGCAACACACACACATATATATATATATATATATATATATATATATATATATATATATATATATATATATATATATATAATACACATCAAAATATTCAAAAATAATTTTGTCCCTGGGAAATTAACATTTTAGAACGTTTTAAACTTGGCTGGTACATAAGCTTACCTTCACAACCACACACAATATTTGTAATCAGGTGGGAAACGGTTCTTACTGTAAACAATTTTTATGATGTACGCTTATAGAGGAGAGTCAAAAAGCGCACTGACCTAGATGTACGATCAACAGGACGAAAATAAGGGAAACCACTCCGAATTATTCATGAAATAACGATGGAACTCCATCTCCGATTTTAAAACCACTCTTGGAAGACCCGGAATTCACCGGCTGTATACATGTGTGGTGTTTCCTGTATTTAATGTTGAGCTCATTCAAACTATGCAATATACAACTATTTTCTGATATCACTGATTAAAAATGAATAGAAATGAATGAATCCTGTAGGTCTTGAAATGGACCATCTTTGAAACGAGAGTGTTACAGCAAGAATGTTCGGTCCTACTTTCAGAGCTGACTGCTGCAAACTTCCCTCTCCAAAAGGCAGTACCTGCTCCTATTTATAGCCAGGAGAATCCATGCATGCGTGGGTAAATTGCCATAACAATAAATAAATAAAAAATAAAATAATATTGAAAATTATAGATAAAATAAAATAACAAAAACATAAAAACGTTGTATAAAATAAATGAGATAAAAATGAAAATTAGTAAAAACTCTTCCAGCATGCAAGAAAATTTGTCTTGCCGGATATACGAAAATTCCGCCAAAAGACATTAAATTCAACCTTTTCGCCACGAACCTTGGTACGGGCAGCACGTGTCCAAATTCTCTCTGTGATATGGCCTTTAATACTACGGAGTAAATTCTCCCTTATATAACATGTACTATAAAACAATTGTAACCTAAAATATAGACACAAAAATATAAATTAATTGTATGAAAATAACATACAATTTACCATGCTTTTCCTGTTATTTGTGTATGTTTTATTTCTTGTCAAGCATTCTTTTATATCCGGGAACTCAAGGCTATGATGGGAGTAAAAACCCAGCAGCACCAAATGTACTGCAGTAGCAGTGGTGTTTCATGAGCAAACTTGTCAGACGGAACCCGACCCTTTCTAGGATTGTTTTGAATTGAGAGTTTTTTTTTTAAATTTTCCTAGACCGGTAGCGACTCAAGGCCAAATGGACCCATGCCTTTCCCAAGGTTATTAGGTCTGGCGCTACAATTAAAATGAATAACACGTGTAACACTTTTCTATATATAAAAATGTAACTCAGGTAAAGGTACCTTGGTTAGTCATGTGGGGGTGAAAGGGCACCCCGAAGAAGACAAAGAGGCCTCCCACGACAAACTGAACTACAAATGCGCCACAGAAATACAAACGAAGAGAAAATAATGACATAATCAAGATGTTAACATTCGACATCACTTGGAAAAAGTCGGAAGGAAATCCCCATCAATAATAGAAGGATCGATAACAGCTACTGTATTGATGACGGCGGGGGTAGTGCTGATGACATAAATGGAATAAGAATGATCGTAAACAGAAAATCAGAATCCTCTATCAAGTGTTCCAAGAAATGAAACTCAAGATAAACCTTTCCAAAAGAGAGACTATAATCTGAAACTAGAATGGAAGCAGTGATGGCATATGAAAATAGAATAGGATGTGCCAAGGATAGTTTCGCCCAATACAGCAAGTTGGTACGAAACGGAAACATCAACCTGAAAACTAGAGTCATGTTCAGATCGAAACTTTGATATGGGTGTCATACATGGCGCCAACATGTTCAGAAATATCTTATCTGTCAGCTGTATATAATTGCTTCCTAAGATCAATGGTAAAAAAAAAAGCTTTGAGTGAATAAAACCTGAGGATCTTGGCAATCATCATCCTTCTTTGAACATTGTGGACTAGCGCTACAGAATCACAAAGAACTGTACCAAATAACAGAAACCACATCACTTGAGGACGAGTAATGAAGAGAAAATAATGACATAATCAAGATGTTAATATTCCACATCATTTTACATGGAAAATTCGGAAAGAAATCCCCATCAATAATGGAAAGATCGATAACAGCTACTGGTATTGAGAAAACTTTTTTCCTTTCAATTTTATGAATTTCAACGAAAACAGTGCTGGCTGCTCGGTCAATGAATAGAAAATGTTTCCTTGTGAGTGAAGATCTTGGTGAAGACGACACTTCTTCGAAGTTTGTAGACTGACGCTATAGAATCACAAACAAAGAACCCTACTAGATAATAGAAACCATATCGCTTGAGGACTACCAACAGCAGCAACAGCTAAAATGGATAGTACACGTAACGTGAAAATAAAATAATGGCATAATAATGTTAACATTCCACATCAATTCAAATAGAAGCTTCTGATGGACACCCTCATCAGTACTGGAAAGATCCATAACGGTTACTTGACTTAAGAAACCCGTTTTTCCTTAAAATAAAGTGGTTTTACGAAAAAGATTTTAAGAGAAAGATTTAATTTTTGATCGCGTGAAACCTGAGGGTCGTAGCAAAGGCCATCCTTTTTTGATCTTTATGGACTGGCACTACATAATCAAAGAACTGTACCCTCATTAGTACTGGAAAGAGCGATAACAGCTACTGGACTTGAGGAATTTATTTTCCTTTTAAAAAAAGGGTTTTTAAGAAAAAGATTTTAAGAGAAAGAATTAATTTCAACCACAAACAGAACTGGATCTTCGGTCACTGAATGCCAAATGTTTCCTTGGAGGGAAACGGATAATGTTACTGCTACTATTACCATGCACGTTGTTCATGTGCTTTACAAACGCTTTCTCAGATCAATGATTAAAAATGCCTTCCAGCGAATAAAGCCTGGAGGTTGTAACGAAGACCATTGAACATAGTGGACTGGCGCTACACATTCACAAAGATACGTGCTAAATAACAGAACCCCCCACATCACTTGAGGACTTTCAACAGCTGCAATAACTAAAACGGATAGCATATGTAACTCAACAAATTATCATCTATAATTTGAATTTGAATGAAAATAATAGTGGGATGTAAGACTAATTCTTTCTAAAACATGTGGAATTAGTAAATACTAAACACAAAACTTGCGTATTTGGACCAATTATAACAAATTTAGTATTGGAGATGTGGAAATTAAGCATTACGCCCCGAGCAAGGTGTGAAGCCACTAGGATGCAGGGGGCTGCAGAAGATTTGGAGCAAGAGCAGATAGGAGTGATAGAAGAAAGGATGAGGAGAGGGATAGTGGATAGATCAAAGTAACTGGAGATGTCGATTGACATTACATTTAAATAGTTGGAGATTATAGCTCTCAGGGAAACAGTAATTGGGAAGGGTGTTCCACAGGCTAGAGGTGCGAGGTATGAAGCTATTGGAGTAGAAGAGACGGCTACATTTAAAAGTTTCTACAGTGAAAAGGTGAGAGCGGGATGCCAGCCTCGTAGGGCGCTTGAATTCATGGAGTCTGAGAACCAGCGAATGCAGCTCCTCGGAGCAATTACCATGAAA